TGTGTGTGTGTGTGTGTGTGTGTGTGTGTGTGTGTGTGTGTGTGTGTTTCTTTGGTTGGTGGTTGGTTTTGGTTTTTGAGGCAGGATCTCACACTGTAGCTCAGCCTGGCCTGTAACTTACAGAGGTCTACCTGCATCTGCCTCCTGAGTGCTGGGATTAAAGGCCAGGCCATGGTGCCTGGCACTACTGGAAGGCTTTTACCTCAGACATCTCCTGCTCAGCATGCCCGCCCTCAGTCCTGGTATTTCTGTGAGCCTCCTCCCTCCTAGGTCTTCCCATCTCTGTTGCGCCACACCTAACCCTGGAGTCACCTCCCTCTCCCACACATCGCCTACTCCCTGGCTGGATGCTGGGGGAGCTGGCGCTCCTTACCACCAGCCTCTCCCCTCAGCTGTTCTCTGTGGCCTCCTGGAGTGCTACCTGAAAGCCTGGTACCTAAGTTTCTGATGAATGAACAAATGGGTGTTTTTTGTCCTCCACCATGACCCTTCCCTATCCAGGTAGTTCCTTAAGGGTCAAGTTCTGCAGGGTGCTGTCCACACCCGTGGTCCTGAGTTCGAGTTCTGTATTGGTGTGGCTCAGATCCTCGCACGCTGATTTCTGTGAGTCTTGGCATCCTCCTCTGTAAAATGGGACGTGAGCGGCTGGCAGGCTCGATGCAGGCCGGATGCGGCACACCCAGGCCGGTTCCCTGCTGCAGTGTTAATGGCAGCTATATATAACCCACGGCCTCCTTTGTACTCCCACCGCCTCTGTCCTACTTCTAGCCCTCATTACGCCGGCCGGTCTCACAGCTCCTTCCTAACTCAGGCTTCATCACCGCCAATCTGTCCTCTTAGCTGTCAAGCTTGTCTGTCCCTTGCCAGCCCTAATCATGTCCCTCCTCTGCTCCACAGCCTTCCATGACTCCCACCATCCACAGGGCAAGACAAATCCCACAGACCCCAGGTCGAAGCCTCCTGATTTCTCCACTCCCAATTCCTATCCTCCTTCTGGGGAAGTGGACAAGGGGACAGGAGCTCCAATATCTGGGGAGCCAGCCGAAGACACACAGGGCATGAGAGAAGTCAGTGCTGATGCTGTTCTGAGGCTACGGTCTCACCATAAGCACACTGGGGCAGCACTGAAGCCTAGGCCTGAGAGTTTATGGCTGTGTCCTGGATTTGAGCTCCTGAGCTCTGTGCTCCCCTGTTGGGAGAGGTTCTTCATGTCTCTCTTCTCTGCCTCCCGCATCAAGAGCCACAGCGGGCTTTGCACTTGGATCTGTGTGGTGTCCTTGGGCCAGTTGCATTCCTGGCAGCAGCCCCTGCCCTTGCCCAGCGCTGGTCACCAGGCTCCTCCCAGGCTCTGGCCTTGCCCCACCCTGCTGTTTGTTTGTTTGTTTATTTGTTTCAGTGCAAGGGTAGCCTTGAACTCTTGTGTCTTTGAAGAACAATGAGTTATGGTGGCTGGAGCAGAATCAGAAGATGGGCAGTGGGTGAGGGTAGGGTGATGGGGCCGATGGTTTAGAGCTTTGGGGATCGTGAGGAGGACTTCAGCTTTTGCTCTGAGGAAGACACGGGATATGATGGGGTTCTGTGACAGTGCAGTCCCAGCTGGGTACAAGGTCTTGTGGTCCTAGCACCTGGGAGGCTGAGGCAGAAAGATCACAGGTTTAAAGGCAGCTCAGGTACAAGATGGGAACCTGTCTCAAAGAGCCAGGAGTCGAAGGTGTGTCTCAGGGGCAGGGTGCTTGCTCAGCATGGCTGGGGCCTTGGATCCCAGCCTCAGTACTGCAAATAACAGTGATTAACAATATTTCAGAGCTGGAGATGTAGCCCACAGGCAGAGTAGCTGGGAATGGTGGTTCACACCAGTTATCCCAGCACTCAAGACATTGAGGCAGGAGAATTGCCCCCACTTTCAGGACCAATATGGGCTACAAAGAGCTTGTCTTAAATGTGTATGTGGGGAGGGGGGTGCATGCTGTTAATCTCAGCATGCCTCTTGTGGTAGCAGGAAAGCGCTCCTGTGTCAAATGAGGGCAAAGGCAGGGGTCAGCATCTGAAGATTGTCCCTGACCTCCAGAAGCAGCCTGAGGCAACACATGCCCACCATTCACAAAATCCACAGAGGATGTGTGCAGGCTTGACATAAAGACTACACCATTTCATAGAAGGGATGCAGACTCCTTGTTTCAGTATTGGGCTATTTGACCAGAAAATGGTCAAACTTTGAATAGAAGAAGGTAACTATATTATGGAATTAATTTCACCTGCTTCTTTTTGGTTTTTCAAGACAGGGTTTCTTTGTGTAGTCTTGGCTGTCCTGGACTCTCTTTGCCTAGGCTGGCCTTGAGCTCACAGTGATTCGAATGTGCCACCACGCCCAGCTCACCTGCTTCTTTTGTTTGTTTATATGGAAAAATTAAATTTTCCTCTGCAACTTTAGATTTCTGCTAGGCAGTACTGGTCTGTTCTCTCCCCCCTCCACTAGAGATGAAAGTCAGGGCCTTGTGGGTGTGCCTTTCTCTCACGAGTTTCTTTCCTCGGGTACACACCACTCTGACATTTGATGTGTTTACTGGGTTCTCTCAGCTTCCTCCGCACACAGAGACCCTTAACTCCTCTGTCTGCTCGCTAAGCAACAGCTTCTGTCTGCACAGAAAGAGGAAAGTGGGGCTCAAAAAACAGAATGGTACCTGTCAGAGGAAATCTGCAAAGTTGGGGTGAGCCATGCATGGAGGCTGTGACATCAGAATGGCACACCACAGGCCAGCCTAAGCTGCGTGATGAGACACTATCTTCAAAATAATTGTGGGGGAAGGGGTGCATGTGTGTGGCGTGCAGGCTCATGCTGGAAATTCCACACCTGGGAAACTGAGGCAGGAAGATTGCTGTGAGTTCAGTGACAGCATGGGCTCCATAGTAAGCATGCTACATTGTGGTACTCGGTCTTAAGTATGTATAAGTATACTTGCTGTGTGGGGAGGCAGAATCTGCAGGAGGATCTCTATGAGTATGAGGCCAGCCTGGTCTACATGATTAGTTCCAGACCAGTCAAGGCTACACAGTGACACAGTGTCTCAAAAATTATGTGTGTGAGCTGGGCACAGTGGCACACACCTGTAATCCCAGCACTCGAGGAGGCAAAAGCAGGTGGATCTTTGTGAGTTTGAGACCAGCTTGGTGTGCAGAATGAGTCCAGGACATCCAGGGCTACACAGAGAAACCCTGTCTGGAAGAAAAAAATGTGTGTACAGACACACAGTTGTGTATTCATCGTATATAAAACAAGCATGTAGTGGAGAAAGAGAAAAGAACAGGGTGTTTCTTGCTCTTCTGGTCTGCTGTGTCCTCCAGGCCAGCTAGCCCAGGACCGTCGTGGGATTAGAGGTGTGCACCCTCCCACGGGTACACATATACACATATGCCACACACATGAAAAGAAAAAGGAGGGGGGATAAGTCAACTCTCATTCCATAAGACAGGAACCAATACTGTGTCACTCCACAGGTGGGACGGCCGACCTGATGATATCCGGTCCCCACTGTGCAGCCGCCCAGCCACCTGCCCTGGCTAGCTTTCCCGTCTTAACTGTCGTCTTCTCCTGCAGCATCTTGGCCACCGTCGGGACGGAGTTTGACCTACGGACACTGAGGGCGGTTCGTGTGCTGCGGCCACTCAAGCTGGTGTCTGGAATCCCAAGTGCGTGAGTCTCCACCTTCTGGAAGGCTCCTCTTAGGGGCCCCATTCCCATCAGGGCGTGCTTCCCCTCAGGTGTCCCAGGAACCAGGTTTAGGCGATCTGTGGAAGCAGACCGGGGGCCTTACCCATTTATTGAGCACCTATAGTATACCAGGGGTCATGTTCTGCACAAGGTTCCTTTAGCACCCAGAACCCGTTATATAAACTAGGCCAATGTCTCCACTTTATAGGAGGGCACATAGACTCGGGACGGCTGAATACTTGGATTAGGGGGACATGAAAAGGAGGGGGCCGAGTGACAGTTAGCAAGTGGAACTCCATGCCTGGACGGTGACCTGTGGTAGTGCCCGTAGGCATTTAGTGCCTATAAACGGAGCACTGCAGAAAGAGCTTCCGGGGCTCTCATTTCACCATTGTTCTCAGATGGCGGCTTCCCGTTGCACAGATGAGAAGGGTGAGGCTCAGGGGAGTCCTCTGCAGGTGGGTAGAATGAATACAGGGTCCAAACATTCTCTGCTCTCTTGTTCTCCAACGATGCCTGGGCTTCACGCCATGGGGAGGGCTGCGGCACGGATTCTGCCTGCAGTGCTCCAAGCCAGACCAAATGCTACCTGAGGCCATTTCTACCCCACAGTGTCACCTGATAGAAATCGGGGCAGCTAGGGGATGGTTCAGCTGGTTGAACACTTACCACAAAATCATGAAGGCCTGAGACTGGTGACAAAGCACCCTTGTTTAAAACAAACAAACAAACAAACAAGCCAGGTGTGGTGGTGATGTCTGTAGTTCTAGCCCTGGGAAAGTGAAGACAGAGGCTCCCTGGAGCTTATGGCCAGCGGGTCTAGCTGAATGATGAGTTCACATACACACATTACACCCGTGAATAGACAAGCCAGTACCACGCTGCCTCACCCGTGTTCAGTGTATTGGTCTCTCAGTACTTGCCTAGCCCTGGTTTCCCCCTCAGCACCGTAAGAACAGCTTAAGTTAAAATAAGAAGAGAGGTTTCCCAGATGACCACCAGTACATTTATTGTACGAGAAAAGGGAGTCCACAGTCAGGCTCTAGGAGCCCAGCAGGTGCCTATGTCCTGTTAAATGAAGAGCAGGTGACAAGCTAGTGTGAACAAGCCGGTGCTCCTCACCCTGTCAGGTAGGCTAAGCGAGCTATTTGCTGGTATTGGTCAACCTTCGGTGACTGCCACAGAATGCCCAAGAGGAAGGGTGGGAACAAGAAGGTAAAGGCCCCTGCTAGCCTGAGCTCCATCCCTGGCACCCACATGGTGCAAGGAGAGCCCTGCCAGTCATCGCATGACCTGCATGTGTTCACCGAAGCACACACTCTCAGACACAAAAAATAAATAAATGTACAAAGTGGGGCTGGAGGGACCACCCACTGGCTAAGAGCACAGGCTGCTCTTTCAGAGGACCTGGGTTCAGTTCCCAGCGCCATATGGTGGCTTACAACTGTCTGTGACTCCAGTCCCAGGGGATCCAACTTCTGTCCGCAGACAACTGCTCATGTTATACCCACATACCTGCAGGCAAAACAACCACATACATAAAATAAAAGTAAAGGAAAAATTGAAAAAGCTCTATTTTTGTTCCATGTAAGAGGTTCTAACCTTGGCCACGCCCCTTGCTTTGGGCCCAACACTACATCCTGGTAGGAATACAGAGGCAGTGGCCAGAGAGCAGCAAATCAAAAGACTGACGTGCAATGACCTAACATCCTCCCACAAAGCCCCACCCTTAAAGTTCTACACCCCCTCCAGTTACCTTACAGGCAGGGAAACAAGACTTTAACCAGTGGCCTTCGGGTGGACTTATCCAAACCACCGCAGCTAGCCATGAGCTCTCTGAAAGTCTGTGTTAGTCAGCCCTCTGTAACTATAACCGAACACCCACAGCAATCAACTTAGAAGAAAGAAAGGTTTGCCTCACCTCAGGGTTTCAGAGGTTTCAGCCTGGGCTCTGTCTGCGCTGGTGTGCTAAGCCTGTGGGAAGGCCACACATCATGGCGGGAGCTCAAGGCAGAGCAAAGCTCCTCACCTGGAGCCACAGTGGTGGCTCAGGGACTAAGAGCACTGGCTGCCACTGCAGAGGACTTGAGTTTGGTTCGCAGGACCCACATCAAGGGCTCACGAGCACCCGTAACTCCAGCGCCAGGACCTCCTGGCCTCTGAGGCCACTGTAGTCACGTGAACAAATCCATATACAAATGCAAACACAGATACACATAAAAGCAAATCTTTCAGGGCTGGAGAGATGGCTCAGCTGTTAAGAGCACGGGCTGCTCCTCCGAACGGTGGTCATTCAATTCCAAGCCCCCCCGGAGAGTCACAGCTGTCTTCAACTCCATTCCCAGAATGTTCGATGCCTTCTTCTGGCCTCTGTGGGCACGGGTGCTCAGATGGTGCACCAACATGCATACAAACAAAACATTCATAAGTAAAAAATAAAGCATTTAATTTTTTTTTTTAAGAAAACCAGAGCTAGAATGTGTCAGTGGTTAAGAGTACTGTCTACTCTTCCAGAGGACTTGGGTTCAATTCCCAGCACCCACATGGCAGCTCCCCACTGTCTGTAACTCCAGCTTCATGGGATCTGACACCTTCACACAGACAATCATGCAAACAAAACAGCAGTGCACATTTAAAAATCATTAAAGCAGGGCAGTGGTGGCTCCTGCCTTTACTCCCTGCACTCAGGACGCAGAGGAACTCACATCTCTGTGAGTTCAAGGCCAGCCTGGTCTACAGAGCGAGTTCCAGGACAGCCAGGGTTACACAGAGAAACCCTGTCTTGAAAAACTAAATAATAATAACAACAATAATCCCAATAATCAATTACATTCTTAAACAGTTTAGAACCGTGGGACTTTCCACATTGGGTGAAAGTTTAACCCCTTCCTGTCTCTCAAAAAAAAAAAAATAATAATAGTAATGCCTAAGCTGTCCCTGAGCCATCCAAACAATGTGGAAGCAGCATCCAGTGAGGTGAAGACACTGATGGTGCAGACAAGGGCTGGCCTGGGCCATGACCTGATGCTCTTCACATCCAAACCCCCACACCCCCTGACATCTAGCTGGCCATGGCCCCAGGCACCACTGGCCCTCACGTTCGGGTTCATCCTTCTCAGCTGAGCCGTGTCAGGCACTCAGGGGCGAGCCCTGACTGTGCTGTCCCCGGAGCCCACAGAGAGAGCGGACCTCCCTGAGCCTCACTTCCCAGTCAGCTGCCTCCATAGGTCTGGGCTACAAGCTGATGAGTTACTGGGGACTCTGGTTCTTTGGAGCTGAGAGCCGAGGTGTTGGCTGCGGGCCTGTGTAGGCCCCGGTATCTGAATGGAGGCTTTGGGTGAAGGGAAAGGTGCCCCTCTTGGCTTGGGGCAACTTAGGGAGACAGCACCCCCTTGTGGGAGGAAGCTACTGAGTATCTCAGAAAATGGCTTAGAAAGCCCTGGACCCTAAAACTCCTCACAGTAGATAATAAGTACTTCTGCAAGTTTTATAACCAAAAAGGCGTTTCTTGGGGGGAGGGGAAGTTGACCACCTCCCTCTTCGTCAGCCTCACGCTGGGCTCCATGGGAGGCGCTTGGCGAGTCTTTGCTCACGGGCTGGCCTCTCTCTGTCTCCCCAGGTTTACAAGTCGTCCTGAAGTCAATCATGAAGGCGATGATCCCTCTGCTGCAGATTGGCCTCCTCCTGTTTTTTGCAATCCTTATTTTTGCAATCATAGGGTTAGAATTTTATATGGGAAAATTTCATACCACCTGCTTTGATGAGGGGACAGGTAGGTCCACAGTGTGGAACGTAAGGTTTTTCTCAGGGGACAAAGCTGCAGAAAGGATAGGCAGGGGCCTTAGTCCCTCCAACCCCTGCTGGGACTGGGGCAATGGCATCCCCAGCAAATTACAGTCCACAGAAAGAAGGCTGTGTGCTAGCTGGCAAGGGGTGGAGCACACCTGTCTGTCGTCCCAGCGCCTGGGAGGCGGAGGCAGGCACATGTCTGAGTTTGTGGCCAGCCAGGTCTACAGGCTTGTTCCAGGATAGACAGGATGACGCTTGAAAAAGAGAACAGAACAAAGCAAAACAGAAAGCAGCGGCTTCGTGCACGGCTGGGGCCTGAGGTGTCGTTGAACACGCATGAGGCCTTGGCTACATCCCCAGCATGGCTGAACTGCACAGGAAAGACAGCAGCCACAACCGCCTCTGACAGCTTAACCACAGCTGCAGTGTTAAGTTTGGGGAGCCCTAGAAGGCAACCCAGGGGTCAAGTGGTTTGTTTGGGAGTGATTCCTCAGGCGCCCCTGGGAAACAGGCTGAAGGTGTGCTCTCGAGCAGTTTTTTTTTTGTGAGCACAGGAAGATGCTTTGGTGTCAAGAAGCAGCAAGGAGTATAGTTCCATCAAGGAGATGAGGGACAGGGCAAGACAACAGAGTATGAACAAGAAGCTGCCCTGCTCCTTCCGAACCTGCACAGCTCCTGTCCAGGCAATGGGAGCCCGCCCTCTGACAAGATCCTGTCTCATCCAGTCAGAACCCAGCACCCAGCAGGTGCTGTCTGCCTGCCCAATCAGAACACTGTGCCCATCCTGCTTTAGTTAGTTCTTGGGAAACAGAGTCCAGGGAGGGCTTTGGGTTCCACCAAGGTCGGCATGGAGGTGAGCCTGGGCTCAAGTCTGACCAGTAGTGCGGAAGAAATGTGTTGCATTCACATTTGGAGGTGCAGGCAGTTATCAAATATAAAGATACAGGTCGATATAAAGAGGTTTATTTAAAGGCAGAATGGGAAAGAGACAGAAAGACAGTGGGAGAGCATAGGAGAAGAGAAAGGAGGATGGGTAGAGCACCCCAGTCAAGAAAGTTAGGGAGAGACATAGGCCCCTCCAGATGCACCCGGTTCAGTCGTAGACTCCCCAGACTCTGGCATTGGAACCAACCCAGAGCAGGCGGTCTGGATTTCCAGAACCAGAGAAAGAGTGAAGCCATGGGCAGAGAGGTGTGGTGCCCTGGGAAAGCCAGCTAGGCGAAAATGGCATGTGCAGAAGCAGCCTTGTACCACCTGCAGCCTCTGACCCTAAGCGGATCCTTAGAGATGCTGTTCTGGCCCGGTCCCAGCTGGGAGGGCTGTTCTAGAAAGCTGGCAGTTCATGTCTTCCTTCTCCTGCTTCTTCTCTCCTGGGCTTGTGAAGCTTGCTCAATATGGAATGGCCTAATTATTTCTTTCTCCAATGAAGAAGGTGTTAATTGAGGCAGATCTATTTCTGCACCTGGCCTCACCCAGGCGGAAGACAAGGAAAGAATGTGTGTCTATCAGCCACACACAAGAAAAACCCAAACTTAGGGCTCAGACGGGCTGTGTGAGGTTTCTGGGATGTTTTTGTTTTTGTTTTGTTTTCCCATCCAGGGCTGGCTTGGCTGGGGTCCCAGTGGGGTTGTGGGGGGACAGATGTAGGTGGAGCCATGAAGGACAGCAACCTGGATTTAGGAGACGATCCAAAGAGCTCCCAATTAAAACTAGAAGATGTGTGAGTAAGAGACAGATATATACAGACGCCCCGGCAGCAGGGCTAATTTTAAAATATATTTATAGCTGAATTTCTCCGACTCCGGATGGCTTTGTTTCTCGAATCAACCCTGGGTTGGCATCGACGGCTGGGGTTGAGGGGGCTGGGGTCCAGCACACCTCTGGATGCTGCTGCTAAAGATAGGCGGTTCCCAGGCACAGGCGCGGGGAGCCCACTTCCTGTCACCCACAGCCATCCCACACATGCATAGGCTCCAAGACAAAGTGGAACGCTTCCTGTTTTCCAAGAGTTTCCAGAATCCTGGATGAACAGACCCTGGCTTGCAGACATTTCTAGGCAAGGAGGCCAACGAGCAGTTGTCTCCATGCTTCCCACTCACAGGAAAATTTGGAGGGGGCCGGGGAACACCAGAATTAACCCAGTGAATACAATCGGCTTTAAGTGAATCAGATTTGGACTAGAAGTGGGGCAGAGAAGGTTCTAGAGACATAGATGATCTTCCCAGTAGGCCCGGTGTAGAGTATTTCTTCAAAGGATTAAGCTTTGAAGAGGTCACTCTCCTGTCGTACTTACTATGTATAAGTCAAGTGCAGTCTAGCTACCTAAACCAGAACTGAGGCCTTTCGTTGCTCGTTTACTGTACATTTTGTTGTGCTTTTATTTTAGTTTTTTGTTGTTGTTGGTGGTGGTGGTTTGGTCTTTATCTTGTTTGGTCTTTGTCTCGCTGTATAGCCCAGGCCAGCCTGAAAGCGATCCCGCTCTGACTTCCTGGGTGCTGGGGTGACAGATGTGAGCCCCACACTACCCCTGGCACACTCCTCTCTGTCGACAGGGTGCGTCCATCAAATGAGGCTGCACAGGGTCGCCCTTCCCTGCAGTACAGCCAGCCGCACACAGGAACGGATTTTGTTGAGTGGAAACTGGAGGGGTTCTTTTCTACACTTGGCTGCTAGTTTTCTTTTCAAACAAGTTATCTTTGTTTTTGAGCCTTCTCAAACCAGCCATCCCAGCCCTGGAGAGGTTGAGGCAGGAAGATTTCCAAGATTTAAAGCTACACAGTGAGTCTGTGGGCAGATTGAGCCAGGGGTTAGCTCTGGGTGCCCCAAGCCTCCCCATTCACTTCAGTATCAGGATCTGGATGTGGCCTGCAAGGCCTGCTCCTCCCCTTTAGGCTGTCTTGGGTCTCTTGGGTGTTGAGCAGTATCTCCTGTCATTCGTGATGCGGCTTCATTATCTCCCGGTATGGAGGGAGAATGCTCTGTTCCGATCCTACCCTCAGGTAAGGGTGGGAACTGTGTGCGCCTGTCCCTCACGCATGACCCCACACCTGTCACAAAGATAAACACTCAGCAAGGCTCTAGAAACACACCAAGATGGCATGCATTTTGTGGCCCTGGTCTGACCGTTGCTGCAGATCACAGACCGCATCTCAGTAGTTAAAGGCAGGAAAGATGCAGCAGAGCGTGTGGAGTCACACAGCTGCCGATCAAGCCCAGAAAGAGCCGCACGCCCTTGGAAACCAAGAGGCATACTTGCTGTTTGCAGATGAGACTGTCTGGTATTGGGGATTCGCCCCCACGATATTCCAGTGACCCAGGCTCCCTTGATGTTGCAGCCAGTGATAGGTACATGCAAAGTGACCTCTCTCTCTTTCCTTCTCTCTCAAGTTCCCCCTACACACACACACACACCTTGGAGAAATATTTCTTAGTTATATAGTTATGTATTTCTCCATGGCTCAAAGGAGAAATAATAATGGAAATTGGGGACGGTGAAGAGACACCATGACTGTGGCAAATCTTGGAAAGTATTTAATTAGAGCTAGCTTGATGCTAGAGAAGGAGTCAAGAGTTCTACATCTAGATCAGCCGGCAACCAAGAGGGAGAGTGACTGGACCTTGCCCGAGCTTCTAAAACCTCAAATCCCACCTCCAGTGACACACTTCTTCCAACAAGGCCTCACCTCCCAGTGGTGCCACTTGCTAGTGACCAAGCATTCAAACACATGAGTCTCTGGGGACTGTTCCCATTCAAACCACCACAGGGACTATTTTTACAATATTTAATAATAACCAGGAAGTGTTTCTGAGATGTAGTCAAAGCTGCACTTGAAGGCAGTTTGTAGCCTTAAAGAAATGACTCAGTTTCAACAGGTTAAAAATGGAACAAGCCCCAGGTGGTGGGGATACACACCCTTCCCAGTACTCAGGAGGCAGGAGAATCTCTGACTTTGATGCCAGTCTGGTCTACAGAGGAAGTTCCAGGACAGTCATGGCTATACAGAGAAACCCTGTTTCAAAAAGAAAAGAGAATTAGATTGGTGGAAAAGAGGGGAAAAAACAGAGTTGAAGAATCTAGTGATGTAGGCAGTAGTTAAAGAGTTTGAAAACCAAACACTGACTTAATTTCATCCCAGTAACCACTGTTTCCCATCCTCGCTTGATTGTCCCTCCTCCTCCTCCTGACTCCCAACCTTTCTCCTTTCTAGACGACATCCAGGGTGAGTCGCCAGCTCCGTGTGGGACAGAGGAACCCGCCCGCACCTGCCCCAACGGGACCAAATGTCAGCCGTACTGGGAAGGGCCCAACAACGGCATCACTCAGTTCGACAACATCCTGTTTGCTGTGCTCACTGTTTTCCAGTGCATCACCATGGAAGGCTGGACTGATCTCCTCTACAATGTAAGTGCTGCTGGAGCATGCACGGTGGCATGGGGAAGGGAGCCCCAGCGAGCTCCAACACCTTTCCAGGTGGCACAAGGCCCAGAGCTCTGAAAGCCCCAGGGCAGGAGCTCACTGGCCTCTGGGAAGCCCTAAGCCGTGGAAGTCTAGGTGTTACCTAGACAGCTTCCTAACGCTACCTCAGCTGTGCGTTAAATATGGTTTTAGTGTGTGACCTGGAACTCGGCCTGGGTGAGCTGGTTGGGACCATCCTGCCCTGAGCATGACCTTCCATGACATAAGGAGTGTATGGACCAGGGGAGCGACTATGAGGATGTTGGTGTCCAGTTCCTAGACCGTGCTAAGTTATCTGGAGCCCCAAGGTCTTCATCTAAGCTCAAACCCATGCATTTCTGTGAGATCCTTCCCTGTGTGTTCACGTGTCCCCTGGCCCCATTAGGTAGCCACCAGTACAAACAGGGCTGGAGCTTGGGCACACACAGCAGACTTTCCACACATCTACACAAATCACTCACAGGACAGAACTGTGAACAGAAGCAGGTAGAGAGGGGCCAAGCCATAGGTACAGACCATGGCTGGGTCACCCACTCTATAATACACAACGGACACCCAGATTCTAGAAGCGCTGAGTGTATTCGATTTGGTTGGCTTTGAAATGTGTACACTTGGGAAGTGGCCCCTCCACAGCAGGTCTGAGGAGGTGCCTGTCCTTCCCTGCCTCCCCTCTGCCTTAGTCACTATCCCTCACCTCTCCTCCACGAGCCCCTCTGTGCCTTGGCGCATCTTCCCAACACTCATTTGTGCCAGTCCAGTGCAGTCAGCCCTCAGCATCCACAAGTCACTGGTTACAGAGCCCCTCTGACACGGTGGTCCGGGGCTGCTCACAGTCCCCACATGAGATGGGGTGGAGCCTGAACCCCGCCCCAGTTCTCTAAACCATGGTGTGCCAGCCTTGGCTACATCAGCGCTGCAGACATGCTTCATGCTGTGAAGCTCAGGGCATGGGCAACAGGTGCTCTGAGCAGCCCCAGTGCAGACTTGTGTTGTTTTCTGAATATTTCTGACCACAGATATGAGGGGCTGACAGCATGAGAAGAACCAGATCTATTGCTTTGGCTGGAGATGGTTCGGTAAATAAAGTGTTGTCTCACAAGTGTGAAGACCAAGTGTGAATCCTCAGGTAGATGCTGAGTTGTGCTGGCCTGCCTGTACCTGCAGTGCGCAGGAGGCAGAGCTGGGATCCCTGGACAAGCTGGCTGTCTAGGCTAACCAAGCTCCAGATTTAAGCGGAGTATCGTCCCCGCTCAATACCGAAGGGCTCGGTGTCAGCCTCGGCACGCACACACTGCACACACTACACGTACAGTTTTTAAATCTGTATTGTCCATCCTAGTTCCATAGGGCCACACCTACACTTTCCCCCAGTCCCCTCTCCTAACAGCATATTCCCTTGTGGCAAGCCAGGGTTCTTAGTCTCTGTATAGCACCTCAGTGTTGCATTGTGTTGCTGCTCACAGTTCACACGCTCTCCCTTAGACTTGCCAGGATGCTCCTCCTCTGGAGCCATGAGCGTTGTTGCACTGTGGTTTCCGTACTTCTGTCAATGCAGATGGACTCTTAAGGGTCTGCGTCCCCAGAGGGGGATTACAGAGTCCAAAGCTAAATTGCATTCACAGAATTGCTTTTTTACGAAACGGGGTGAGGGTGGGGAGATGGCTCAGATGGGAAATACCGGCCACTCAGGGATGAGGACTTGAGTTTGACCCTCAGAAGCCATGTAGAAAGCGGTGCATGGTAGCTTGCTCTCATAATGCCAGAGATGTGGAGGCAGGAGGACCCCTGGTACCTGCTGACTGGCCAGTCCAACCTAATCATTGAGCTCCAGGCCAGTGAGAGACTTGGCGTTAAAAATAAAAAGGTGGACAGCACCTGTGGAACAATATCCAAAGTTGCCCTGTGTCCTACACACATATACACGTACCCATGTGCATGCATGTAATACTCAAATCATACACATGCATATACATGCACACACATACTTGAACACATAGGCAGATGCAAATGCACACTTGTACGCATACACCATGTGCATATACACATACACATGTACAGGTGCATGCATGCATGCATATGTACTTGTCATACACATACATCTAATGCCTGCATATGTGCATGCATTTATATAGAGAGACACATGCACGCACATATATGAACAGCAAAATGAAGGAAAGAATCAAGTATATTGCAGTTTTTATATTTGAAGCTGGCATTTGCTGCTTTGTGGGTTACTCTCCCTTCAACCTTCCTCCACCCCTTTTCTTCTTCTCTTTCAGCCCCCTAACACTAGATAGGAGAGGAAAAAAGGAAAGAGATCCCTGAATAAAGTCAGGAGTCAGAATGGGGGTGAGGCTGCTGTTAGACTACTTCCTGCCAAGTAGGAGTGTCCACCTCCTTGGGGCAAGACTGAACTTTGCCGTCAGGATAGCCAATTTCTTCTGGTTGTTTCTTCTTTGCACATGACTGCTTAACAAACCACAACTAACAGCATTTACATGGCCTCTTAAAAGCCCCCAGAATTCCAAACATCACACAGTCACAGAACCTATCTGCAGCTGGTGAACTTGCACCTCTACTAGAGCACGAGGCAAATCACAGTCAGCTTCTGTGAAGCAGCCCCAGGTCCCCACACCTGGGATTAAAATGGAAACATAGTCTTATATTTTTGTGTTTTAAAAGAAACCAAAACTCCAAAATTCTTAGTACATGTATTTTTTAAGCAGATTTGTGAGTTAGGCATGGTGGCCAGAACTGTCATCCAGGCACTGGGGAGGCTGAAAGGAGGGGTTGTGGGGTTGAGAGTATATCAGGCTGGGCTACTTAGTAAGACACTCTCCAAAACAAGACAGAAGAGGGCTAGAGAGATGGCTGGGAAGTTAAAAGTGCTACTGCTCTTGCAGAGAACCTGGGTTCTGTTCCTAGCCCCTACACTGGGTGGCTCACAGATGCCTGAGACTCCAGTTCTAGAGGGTGTAATGTACTCTTCCTGTCTCCATGGGAATACATAATATTAGATAGAGAGAGGTTGCTTTTTTTTTTTCTCTAAAATCATAATGGAGCATCAACAGCCAGCTCCTGCAGTAGGTCACGTGGCAGTGGGTCACACAAGTCTCATGATTTGATGCTACTGCAGAGTTTCAAAGACTTTGTGTAGCACTCAGACTTAGCTGCTCTCACAGTGACACCTGCAGTTGCTGTAGTCAGAAAGTGATAGTTTTGTAAGTAACTAAATCCTCAACCTCTACATTTGGTTCAACCCAACACCAGCTTGCTGCCCAATGTTAGTAATTCCAGAACAGTTTTGTGTTTGGGACTGGAGAGTCAGCTCAGGGGCTAGAGCACATACTGCTCTTCCTGAGGACCTGTGTTCAGTTTTCAGCAACCACATCAGGTGGACTACAATTGTCTCACTCCAGGGTGATCCCACACCTCTAATCTCTGTGGTGCTTGCATTCATGTGCACATACTCCACACACACATAAATAAAATAAGAAAAATATTTTTTAAAAAACAAAAACCAGGTTTGGGCCAAGCATTCCATGCCTATAATCCCAGTACTCAAGAGACAGAGGGAGGTGGCTCTCTGTGAATTTGAGACCAGTCTGTTCTATACAGTAAGCTGTAAGCCAGTCAAAGTGGGACCCTGTCCCAGGGGGGAAAAAAAAACCAACAGCCTGTGTTAAGATGTGTCTTTGTGGCTTTGGTACCATCCTCCAGAGAACATACTTATGGAGCGGGAGGTTAATCTACTGAGTCTCCCAGACACTCGTAGCAAACAGGATTGATTCTAATCCAACACTGGTAACTCTCCTTGCAGCCATCCCCTTTGTCTTCTTCCATATGTGTTTATTTTATTTATTAATTTGCATATGCATTCTCTATCTCTCCCTTCCTCCTTGCCCTCCTTTCATCCTCTTCTTTCTCCTTCTCCTGTTTTCCCTCCTTCCTCTTTTACTCCATTTCTTCTCTTTGTCGAATGGCAGTGAAGAAATGGCAAAACTGTTTATTTTCTGATAATAAACTCACACTTCTTGAAAACTGATCACAAATGGCAGGGATGGTCTGTGGCCTAAGCCTTTTCTCATTTGCAGATACCTGTCCCACTTCAAATCACGTGTCTCTGGGGGACTCATTCATTCACCCGACCAGCATCATCTAGTGCCTACTCTATGTGGTGCCCTGTGAATGACTACTGTATGCGTGTTTGTTGGCAACATCTCCTGGGGATGACATTTCAGGGCACTTCAGAGTAGTTGGCATGCTAGTGGGTGAAGCTGCTGAACATTAGATCAAAGACTGTGGGCAAAAACTAGCTATTTTATGCTCAGGGTGGGTCACACAGAGAGAACCGGACTTCACACCGGTCAGTCAATAAGGCACTTGCCTTGCTAGCAGGAGGGCCTGAGTCTGACGCCCAGGGAAGGTGACTCACACCTGTAGCCCCAGCCCTGTAGAGGCAGGGCTAGCCTTACCTACTTGGGCAATCCCCAAACTAGTAAGAGATGCTGTCTAAAAGGAGGTGGACAGTTGTGTGGTTTAACAATACCCGTGGCTTCCCTCAGCCAGCCACACTGAACATACATGCATGTATGCACACGTTAAAGAAAATATATAGATGCAGTACATTTGGGGCATCATGAGAGCGTCGTATGAACCAAAGGAAGTGAAGCTGCCAGGGGTCACAGGCCGTCAAAGGGACAGGCAGAAACTCTCCTGAGAACCTAACAGAGAGGAGGGCAACCCAGGCAGGGCCCCATCCAGTACAAAAGCCCTGAGACAGGAATGTCCCTGGGCATCATGAGGAACACTTCAGCTGCACCGTAGGGGAGCAAGCGGAGGTAGGAGAGGAGCCAAGGAAGTTGAGGTGGTAACTGGCTTCACAGGCCAACAGATGCTACAACTCATTGTCCAAGTTGCAACGGCCTTAAGAGTGGAGAAAAGGA